TAGGTAGGTTACTAAGATATTTCGTAATAATGAAATATCGTAATTAAATAATCGTAACTTTGTATATTTCTTACTGATCTTACATTTTTACTCACTTATTTCATTTAATATAAATATGTTTATATTAAAGTAATAATTATATCAGATACTTTGAAATATTTAGTAATGTATAAATATTACGTTCAAGATTATTATTTTAACTGAATAAATAATTGACTGATTTTCAATAATTTAAATTAATATTTTCAAATTGTATACAATAGATGTTATTTACATTCAATTTGAAGTTTCACAATTCTTTATAAACATTATAATTAATAAAAGAATTTTTAATCATTTTTTTCTTTATACCTTCGGTAAGATCGTTAAATTATGTATGTATACATCACGTAAGTAAACTGCAGATTGTTCGTAGCAATATTTTTAAGCTCTAAAGTAACGCAAAAGCTTAAAGTTATAGCTTCTTCTTGTATTATAAAATGTCAACTTCCGCATAAAATCTACGTTGAATTGCTACTATAAGATACGATTGTAAATATCGTAAACTTAGTCCGCCTTTATTGCAATGATGCATACCGTAACCTCGACACAACATTTGCCTCCATGGATACACAATTTTAATATCCAAACCATTCGCAAAGAAAAATAAAATAAAAATGGCCATCGCGCATTCTATCCTTCTCTTCGCATAATTTACAAGCATTGAGAGACTTGGATTCGCTCAGCCAGCGCAAGCTCCCACAGACAACGAAAGCCAAGCTTGAAACATCTTTTAGCATAAACTTTAAATTCTAATGCTCATTTAAAATTAGAAAAATTACGCTTTATACCTTAAACTTATACGTTTTCAATGATTAAGAAATAAAAGTAGCACCGCATATAGGATTCAAATATGCTTTATAATATTTAAATTTTCTACGTAATAATGATTTTTGCCGAACGTTACGGTCAATAACGTACTTCCGAGCTATGAAAAAAAATCCTTGAAGCACGTCGAATTAGCTTATGAATACTCGAATAACAAGACTTTCCTACGACATTTATAATTATTTTCTTAAGAACTCACGTATATAAACTCTCCAACCATTTCGATTATTATTTCTCTCTCGATTCGCCTGTACCTTATTTTAAACACGCACAATGCTACCTCGCTCGCTCTCTCGTCTCACTCATTTCTCCCTCTTTCCGGAAGGTGGAGACGTCACCGCGGCTTTCTTTCCACCCTTGTAATTTAGCCGCACCTAACTCCTGATCGACCTGCTGCTCTCAGACACACAATCATACGCAAACTTTATCCCTCTGTCTCTGTTGGATGTGCACGCACGTACAAGCGTGCGTTCTCCTGCAAAAGCCTCTCTTAATTAAATTCTTGCATTGATCGTGTGTTTGTGTCTCTCCTCCCTAGTCTTCGCGAAAAGGGGCGAACTTTTTATCCCGATAAGCGTCAAGTCGACTGTCGATAATTTTCGTATAGCCTTGCCGGGAAAATGAGGGGCGGGGGAGGAGAGCCGTCATGCGAAATAAACAGAAATTCTCGGCACGAGCTCCGGTCGTCTGCAATCTCTCTCTCTCTCTCTCTCTCTCTCTCTCTCTCTCTCTCTCTCTTTCCGAGTCTCCGCGAGTCCCTACCCCTTTTGTCCCTCTGTGTTCTCACATACCCTTATTTGCGCGGTTGCGCGATCGACCAGCTGCCAACAATTCTTAATTAAAAAAGCCAACGACGGTATGGGACGGATGGGATAAGATGAAACGTTTCGTCCACTCACGGGTCTGTGCCTCTTCATTTCATTGGTAGTTTTATATTAATTAAAAATTAGTCGAGTATAGTGATATTCGTCGAGCGAGAGAGGCTGGCTGGTAATTTCAATCGGCGTAATCCAAAATTTTTCAAAATTTCTACTCCCTTGGCTTGGATTTTCTTCTCCTAGTCATACGTCGTGACTTGTATCATTTATTTACTCACGTGAGATGGTACGATGAGACCAAGGATAAACGTGAGGATTTTTTTTTATATGCGATGAAAGGTTGAAGGTTTTATGAGATCGTGCGTGAATAAGTGAAATTTTAGCTGTTATTAACGATCTTAACCGTAAGAAACTCTTTCCTCTCATTCTTCATATACTGACTAATTATTATTACCAACTTCGTTATCTTAACGGCAGCTTATAGATATTGTAAATATATTTTTCACAGCTACATTCAAATGTCGCTATTTCTCGTTTAATTTATCTGTCTTAAATCAAGTCAAGCCTGTCTTAAATCCAATATGGTACAGTTTCATTCGTTTCCTGAACGGATTCTACTTAATGTATTAAATCTCCTGGCTTCTCTCTATATTTCAACTCATTTACAAATTTTTTTTAAACATTTAGCACAAATGTACAATAAAAAAGAATTGATTCATTTTTAATGTTTAAAATTGTCTAAGTAATTATTGCAATAACATTTATATATTTACAATATTAATAAAAATTTTTTATCTTATTTAAGTATCATCAAAGTCATTATTATTTTTTATTTATTTTCAGTTTGATATCTGTACACACACACGCGCGCACTCTCTCTCTCTCTCTCTCTCTCTCTCTCACTCTCTCCCACAATGTTGTGCGATCGCGCGCGCGTGTGAAATAGACCATCAAAGACTTATGTATTAAACAAACAATACTGTTATATATTTATAAATTCGTACAAATATATTCACATTGAATGTTAATCATATTTTTGTCTCACGGAGCACTGATATTTCATAATATCACATAATCTAGTGTGAAGATTTGATTATTCTCAAGCAGCTTACTTTTTCCCTTAATGGCAATGGAAGCTTTATTATGAAGTTTATGTCTCCACCTTCCACATTGTAGTTTACTTTGCATTAATTATAATACATTATACGTTTGTTTAAAAAATATATTTATAACGTCAAATTTTAAATTTATAAAAATTATGAAATATCGAAACTTTTATCTTTAACTTTTTAACTATTTAAATAACAAACACCTCCTTTATCATTAATCATAATTAAAAGTATCCCTTGCGCATCTATCTTTCTTAATGCAATACCTTTTAATTAATAATTTTTAACGAGAACATTTTTTATTTTTGTAAATGTTTTAGTAATTCTCTTAATTTACCAGTAATTTTATTTATTCTAGCACTATTTGAGAAAATAATTTATTTCTTAATTATGCTGTGAAGACTAATTAAAATAAATTTTATTGGAAAATTTATCTTCAATTTTTCATGCATTGTCATTAATAGCAATATTTATTTGGTAGATAATGATAAAATTATCATTATGAAGTATGTGATGCGAATTTAAATGTATCGTTTCGAATGTTTTCTATTGCTGTCATGTAGTTTGAAAAAACTCATATATAAGTAAGTACATGTATATTTGTCATATCAAAGTACATTTTCTGTTTATAAATTTTTTTCATATTTAAAAATTGAGATGTAAATAATTGTTCGTGGCCCTAATGTTTATTATAGATTAATAGGTACATAGGAGCTTAATGGTTAAAATAAATTTGCCTTTAAAATTATTGGTCAAAATGAATTTTACTTAAAAAAAAAAAAATTTTTTTTTGTTAATAGGACTCTAAAAATTCATGATCTAAATTTTTTTGTAAAAATTCCGATTTTTATAGATTTGCTTTCACTTCAAAAATAGCGACATACGTTTGGCAACACTCTAAAAATGTTTTTAAGTCCGTTTAAACATCAATTAAAAGCTTTAAAAAAAAAAAGGTTAATGAAAAAAAGTAGTGAAACTAAGAGCTTAAAAATATTTTTACAATACAATGAGTCAACGCGTCACATTACTTTTTCACTATAAAAAAAAGATAAAAGAATAAGTATTTGTGAATTGCATATTAAGTATTTAAATAATACTATAAGGATTTCGATATAAACTCGACATATCAATATTTTATATTGAAAAAAATAGTCTTACTTTCGGAAAATGCAGTAATAAATTCTTTTATGTTAATGTTCCATAAATATATTTTTCAATTGATGTTTAACTTGAACATATTTATATGTAACGTCATGTAACGTCAATTCTGCAGTGAAACTTCCAGTCTCCTAAAAGTGCTTATTTCAAATTTTTTAATTAATAATATCTTCTAATATTTTAAGAATATGTTTGTAATGATAATATAAAGCAATGGCTGGGAATTAAATTTATTAATTTCTAATAAATACTATAATGTTTAAATGTGTTTTTGTGTCTAAAATGTGAACATAATATGTATTAAATTTCCACTAAACTATTTAATTAAGAAATAGATATTGACATGTAAAAAAAGTAAAAGTTACATTTATACAACTTTGACAACTTTGACAACGTCAAGAAAAATTCAATTGACAATGAACAGCGAGATATTTTGCATTAATAAGTTTGGTATTAAGAAACCAATTGTACTATTTTTTTTTTCTTTTAACAATTTGGCAAATGCTAATTCAATTTAACGTGTAATGCCATAATCATTTTATAAATAATTTTTTTTATCTTACAAACTGGCAAATACAAAGCTAATATCTATTCGATAAATAAAGTAGGGCAATTGCAATTATAGCGATTATTGTACAAGCTTGCAATAATGGCGCGCACATCCCGTTACTCAATTTCTACATAACTCCTAATTTCCCAACTAAAGTTACTAAAAATTGGTTAATAGTTTATAACCCGACTTACGAAGTGAAGTTTAGCAAGTGAAGTGCCGGTACCTCGGCCATTACGACTCGGCATTATCAGCATTCTAAACCTAAACTGAATTCGCCTCGTCCGCAACATACTTACACAACGCAGCTTACAAAAGGCTCGGTTAAACGGTCTACTTATGCTCGGCTGTCTTTTTCTTTTTGGAATTCATTTTGGATCGGTCCGTTCGAGGCGGAGAGTCAATAGGACGAGGTGTCGCAATCGGGATTAAAAAGACGAGCGAACAAATAAGTCCGACACGTACGTTTTGTTTCAGGGCGAGTCAGCAAGCAGGAGGATGTCTGCGCAGCGTCGTTGGTTGCTCGTCTGGATTCTGGCGATGGCGTGTCAGCAGGTGACCTGGGCCGAGCTCTATACGGCCCTCGTCGACATGGAGGAGCTCCTCGAGACCGAGTCCGTTCTCATTGACACCCTCCACGGGTACATAAGCGCCCAGGAGCATCGGCTCGCCACCCTCAGGAGGTACGTCCTCTTTACTTTATATGCCCGCGCTTATCGAGCCGCCGCTGCCTATGGCTACGACTTTCATTATCCTTATCAACAACGCCCTCGTTGTTTGCTCTGCAAACGCCCGCATGGCTACGGGTGTGCTAATGCGTGTAATTATTATTGGAGAAGCATCGACAAAGTCTGTTTTTCGTTCAATTAAACGTGCTCGGGCAAATAATGCAGGGGTGAGAGTAACGTAAACGACTAAAAGCGTTGCGCAAGAGTACAATGAAAAGAATGAGATTTTCAGCTTGATGAATTTGTAATTATATTTAAAATTTAAAGCTTCTCGAATTCTTTACATAATAAGACATATTTCGTCATTATTTCTTTTAAAATGTATCTTTAAGCCCGTGACTTTCAAACTTGAAGGTATTAATTTTTTTTATATTGATTTTTCTACGCGTTTCTATACATTGGCTTAGTGCCTTTTTGTATTGGTATTTAATATAAAATTGATAAAAAAAAAAAAATACGTTCCATCATACATTCTTCTTATATAATGACAATCAATTTTCGGTAATTTACACTTTACTTCTAAATTATAAATATGAAAATTATAAAATATTACGTTGTTATGAAATTGTTATTTAAGTAACGAGATATTATGAAATATCGTTACCGACTGATCATGTACACGGATGTCCATAATGAAAACGTCAAATAACGATTATAGTATAAAAAAATCCATATATTTGAATACCCATTATCATCATAAATTGATTTTGCACAAAGTGTTACGTTAAATTTTAAGCGTATTTGCCATTCTTATATTTAAAAAAAAAAAAAAAAAAAAAAAAAACACACATACACAAACATCATTAATTCTTCTAATCGGTGGCTATTGCACACACTCCAGAGTAACCAACAACAATTACGTAAACCATCGCCTCCATTTGCCTATATTCCTTTTGTTTTTCATTTCATTTCATCTTTTTTCTTATTTTTGACCATTAACCTCTCCTCTGTCTCTCTCTCTCTCTCTCTCTCTCGCGCGCGCACGCTATTATTTCTTCGCGACAATACGACGCGCAATTTTCGTTTGCACGCGGACCCTGCGGCTCATGGAACTAAAAAGTTAACGAGATTGCTTAATCCCAGAAAGCTGGAAGTACGAGAGCAAGCAGAAGGAGAAGGCAGGGGTGAGTGGCTCGTGCGATGGCAAGGTCCGGATCCGTCAAAATATCACATATCTTCTCCCGCGGGTGCCAAGCATTTACTAGGCCCAGTAGATTAGAGATATAGCGAGTCGTGACTTATCCGCCGTAGAGCCCAGCTTTTTTAAAACGTACGAATTCTCAAAATTTTTCCCTTCTTCGCATAGCAATACCAAATAATCCGAGCTCCGGAATTTTCTTTTCCAAGTCTGACGTTGCCAAGTCAAGATTGTAGGCAGTAAAATTAAAACAATATTAGCTGTAGACATTATACATTATAAGAAATATCTCTTTTTTTCTTATGAATTAATTTTTACTATCATTTGAAAGCTCGTTACTATCGATAGTATAAAGCAACTGCATCTTTAATTAACAGCTGCCAAATTATCTCAAAACTGAAATTTTTATTTAATTATTTAAATTTAGGCTAATTTAAAAGAATTGTTTCTAGACTTTATTTATTTATCGGCATTATCGATTGATTTTTTGAAACTGTGAAAACGAGATATTTCATTGGCATTAATATACGTTATTTTCAAAAGATTTAATTATAGAATTTTTTTAAATACACGTTGGGAAATGCATATTTTAGTTTATTGTAAATATTATAGTTCGTTGTAATGATTCGAGTTATTTTCGTATCGAAGGCGTTGTCAAACGATTTACATTTATTTAAAATTATTGGCACCAAATGCTTTTCAAAAGAGTGATTTTACATATAAAATGGCATTTGTGTAATACATGTTTTTGTTATTTGTACGAAAAAACTTTTCAATGTAAATAATATCATTGAGTGCACTAAACCCATGGAAAATATCTTTTTTCTACAATAGTTATTATCCAATAGTACTTGTACTTATGTATACAACATTTTTCTCTGCATTTTCTTTACACTGTAATAGCGTTGGACAATAATCTTGAAAAAATTTCTAAGCCTAGTCAAGCCAACTGAATAAATAGATCCTGCTATAAAAGAGAAAATAATTCCATTGTTCGAAAGACTGTTTGTAAAATTTACGTAGCCCGATAAATTTGCAGTTATTTAAATTTTCCTCCAAATTTCTCGTTTCCTTCAAAATGTATTAAATTTATTATCGATCAATGAGATAAAATGGTTTTAATATGAAATTAATATGTCGTTAAAAAATATCACTGAATCATATACAGCTGCACATTTTGTGGAATATTATTTAAATAATTGTTGATACGTACGTGTTCGAAATGATGTTATAGTTTTTTCTGGCTCGAACTGCCATTGCTTCAATAGTTTACGTCTGCCGCGCCCGCCCGAGCAAATATAAAAATGCTCGGGAAGGAGGAGTTTAGTGGAAGAAGAGAATGTAGAAAATATCGTGCGTTTTCGATGAATATACGATGAAACGATTGCTTGGATCGTTTCTTGTTATGGATGTTTCACTATAAAAGATGCTCCTTGATGACTATGATTTGTTGTTGATTTTGTAAGGAACAACAACTGAATTTTATATTGCTTAATTGGTATTTAATTATCGATTGGGAGGCTCATCGCCTCCCTTGGGACTTGGCGACGAGAGGAGCTGAGCTGCCGGTCAAGCGTCGCTGCTTGATTTGTACAATTGGCAACGTGTGGAGTACTTGACAACAATGTATGGGTGATGTCTCGTGACATTCTCAAGGCACACGCATCCCGACTATTGACCGATGTCGCATGAACTGAGTTTCTAGTTACAATGAATTTTAGGAAATGTTTTTCGACCCGATTGTTTTCATACATCTGACATTCTTGGAATGTTAGGATCTCGAGCAAATAGCCCCGCGACATCCTACTGCATAACAACAAGGAGGTCGATCATTACGCGACCTTTCCGAACCTCTAACGATCGTTCAACAATTCTTAGAAATTATGGCCCTTGGTATTTTTCCGAAAATAATACATGAGAAATTCTCTGAATCTTGAACGGTATGTACTATGTACTGGACAAACACTGCCTATATCTGGAAAACTATAAACTGTAAACTGTATAAGGTGAACAAATGGTGTGATATATACTAACAACTCAATTATTTATATCGATTGATTTAATTGATTAAGAATTTCCATGGCTATTTGTTGCCAATTAACATATAAAATTTATTATTTCATATAAAGCTATGAGTAACATTGAAGGGGAGTTAATGTCAAATCAAACATCGATATTAAATCAAGTTGATAATTAACTAATAAAATCATATTAAAATTTAAAATAAACACAAGATATTTATTTAATGTTAAATTTTGAGAACCGTTCAAAGACGAGGATATTATTTAATTTCATTTTGATGTATTATTATAAAATTTCTAAAGAAACAAAAAAAAAAAAAAAAAATAAATATTTATAACATAATATTTATAATATTTATATTGAAGACTTTTCTTTTAATCAATAGCATAATTTATAATTATAACTGAACTTAAACTACCAAAGAATTTTCACTATATGTTCGTTTATGATATACTTGTGGTTTCGTACATTACTGATTAGCATACTTTTAAATAAAAATCTAATGGATCCGTTATGTATGGCTTTAAAATGCAAAAGGACAAATATTTTAAAATTCAATAAATAGCGGAGATAGCTATTTGCATGAAAATCACATCGACAGAAATTATAAATGCCTCTACGAGTTTTATCATAGTGATATTAATTATACATCCAACAGTCATAAATGAATTCTCCAATAAAAATATACTAATTCTCATTTTCATTTAAATCGATTTATTTATCATCTTTTATTTAAATATTCATATATTTTAAAACAATTGTCTTTCGGATGAAAATGCAAAATTTGTTTTATGGTACTTCCATTTTATTAGAAAATAATGATTTTCTATTATTAGAAGAAAAAATATATGAAAATTTACAAATTTACAAAATATATTACATACAGTTGATAGAATGGAGCGAAATCAAATTTATTTATTGACTCGATTGCGCTCATTTTGATTATTATAAATTTATTACAATAGATAAAAAGCTTTTAGATGTAGAAATGATATTTATCTTATCTTCATTATCGACTCAACAATTGTTATTCACGAAATATATTTAAAATTTGCGTTCCACGAAGCTGTCATTTAAGATCAATTTATATATTTCTTTGAATATAATAATTATAATAAAAACAAATTAAAGCATATATAAAAATTCAATGGGAAAAAGTGTTAACTTTGCATGCAACGAATCTATTACCCTCAACAACGTTTATTATTAACAACAAGTTTTATTTCTGAAATTTTTATCTAGAAATGAAATCTTTACTTTGTCTTTGTTTAAGTTTTATTACTTGCAAACTGAATTTAAATTCACAATCAATATATAATCATAAATTCACTGTTAAAAATATGAAAAAAGTTACACTTTTCTTATTTGCATTCGTCTATTTGTATTAATAATCATTTATTAATCTCGACAAAATATCCATTTTAATGCACCCCTATAAATAATTTAATCAAATCAATTAATTCACATTATTCAATGCATTAAAAATAATAAAGATTATTGATTTACTTTATGAAATATTTAAAAAGTATAAATAATAATTATTAAAAAAAAAAAAAAAAAAAATTAAAAAAAAAATGAAACTTAACATATGTATTTTTAGTAAATTAATATTAAAGAAGAAATTCAATGTTAAGTGAAATATATTTAATATAATAATCGAATGAATAAATTTTGTATTATATTTTTTTACAAATTATTAATTGTAAATAGATTCGGTATCTATTCTTTATTCGTAAAATATGTTAACAAAATCAATGAAATTACGTTGCATTTATTTAATTTTTTTTTCTTGTAG